AATTGTCTTTTATCAAAAAATATTATTTCAAATATAATATATAATATTATATCAAAAAATACAATTATTCTGAAAATATTTGTATTACCTCAGAGAGAAAATATGTAGAATAAATAATATTCTATATACTTTCTGAAACTATGAGTCGCATCTGAACAAGACACTGCAGTACTGCAGAAATCAAGGCGATGCGAGAACGACTTTATATTTCAATTAAATTATTCAATTAAATTATTCAATTCATTCAATAAAATTTTCAATTAAATTATTTAATTAAAATTTTGCTTTTCCAAAAAAGAACGCTTAAGAAAAACAGGTAGTACAAAATTTCATTTGAATCAGATAATTACAAAGTGACCTTCAATCTCCCTGATACAATAATAATTTAGAAATACAATAATAATAGAATTCATATAAGTGAAAGAAGCGAAAAAATTGAAATTATTATATTTTTTTTCAATATATTTTTTTGCAATGAATGATTAATATAATATTGCAACTTGTGAAAAAATTCACATTATTATTTTTTACAAAAAAGTGATTTGAGTATCGAGCAGCAATTGTCTGTGTTCAGCAGCGATATGTTAATTACATTGCTTTCCATTTTTATCTTTGCAGAGAATATTATTGTATTCTTACTTAAATTTTTTGCAGTAACATTCACATCATAATTGCTGCTCATATATTTTCTTTTCACTAATGTAGACATTATTATTTTCTAATCTTATCAAAAAAAGATAGTAAGTGATATAAAATCTCCCGAAAATTTTTGTAGTGTGATTTCGAAAAAATTGTTGGTTTTTAAGGAGAGAAAAATGATTTTGGTTTAAAAAAAATATCACTTTTGGTGAAGTAATTTTTTCATTTTCGCCTGCTGCCAACGTAAATTAAATTGAATCATTGCTATTAGTTAAGGCTAAAACTACAATTTAGAGAACCAACGCAAGACCCGGTTTAAAAAATTGTCTATAACATTACGATTTCTGTATCAATATCTTGATAATGTATTAGTTGAAGCATGATTACAAAATTTTGAAAAGATGCTTAAATTAATTTTTTTGGTAGACACCAGTCTCGAACGTAGACTCCAGCAAGAAAAATATACTATAACTTTAAAGAATTTGTCTATTAGATGATTGAAATTTTTCTTGAAAAAGGTTTACTTAAGATCATGAATTGCTTTTTCAATATAGTATCTGGTATAGGAAGTGATATTCCATTTTTTTGAATGCTGCCAAAAAAAAGATCATATTTAAATCCGAAAATTATCGGTAATCATCCCATAAATCAGTGGTATTATGGGGAATCGTCAGGTATTTTTGTGCTTTAAGTTAGGAATTTTTTTTTAAAAATTTCGTCCAGATTTCTCTAAATTTTTTGAAAAGTGCCTGAAGTTGCACTTACCAAAATGTCGAAACTACCCTATAAAACTAATTTTAAAAATATGATGTCGCCAAAAAAGGTACAACAAAAGTTTCTTAATTTTCAAAGGCACCAATGATTTGACCTGCGTTGTTTGCTTTTGTATCACGACTAAGTGCCTAAATTTCATCTGTTATACCCCTTATTCCTCTTCCCTGTTTAGTCAACAGCAATGGCTTGTACTTTTTTGAAGATGTTAGTATTTCAAGAATTAACAGTCTTCAATACTTTTAGGTGCAAAGAGGCGTTTTTCGTTGATTTTGGTAAATCTAATAAAAAAAATTTTTTTTTATACTTTTCTATTTTTTTTCCAAAGGCGATTCGGTTTAATACTGCCTATATAGTGTCCTACCTAAAATCCTTTGTCACAGCAATCAGTATATAGACCCCATATATATTTTTGATTTTGTATTAAAGACTTCCAAGAGACGGAAAGTAGAAAACTATGATACAGCTTTTTGATGTACCAAATTAGGTAAAGATGCATCACTGAACCATGCGACATGGGAAAATGCACATGATCTCAGGAGAGAAATATTTCAGAAAATATAATGGAAGTCAGAAGTAAAAGAAATACTGATGATGAAAGTTTCCGGAAAATAAGGTCACAAAAGAAAAAAATATATATATGAAAAAGTGGCTTCTTGGGCAAACATTTCATAGTCAATGAAGTTGGTCTTGCAGTCGTCCGATTAACATAACATTTTGCACAATTCCTATTTTCGTTGATTGAAACAAGACGAGAGATCACGGGCTAAATTTTTTAAAAAATGAAAAGTTAAGGCAACCTAAATATATTTGTTACTATAGGTGTAATAGAACATGATATCTTGCTTTTCAATTCAGAGGAAGAAAAGAAAGAAGGTGGACTGAAAATGGCTTTTTGGGCTGAAATCACATCTCATGGTCAATTGAGGGTCACTTTGCAGTTGTCAGATTAACTTGGAATTAAAATTTTGCAAAAATTTTTTTTTCTCTGTTGATTGAAACAAGTTGAGGAGGTGAGAGCTAAGCAATTTTTCAAAAGTTTAAAAATAAGGAGGCAATCCCTTATTTTTTAGGATTCTGTATATAATAAAATCCCTTTAAATATGTTAAATTTTACTCAGAAATAAACGTAAAAACAGGCTAAATTTGCAAGGAATTTGAATCTGTTAACACTCTATTATTTATTAACGATATTCTGATTTGTATGAGTTTCTCATTTGATTTGTGTAATGAAATTCTACTACTTTTTTAAAATTCGATAAAAGTTGATAACAAGTTTTTAGAATTTTAAAAGTATTTTCTTTAACTAAGAATTTCAGAAATTTCCTATAGAAATGATATTAAAATCAATAATTGATGAAAAAACGTAAAACCGGTATTATCGCTTTTATAAAGAAATTGAATTTTTGAAAGATGTCAATTGTTTTAAATATTTTTATTTACTCAGCTAGATAATTCTGATTTTAGGTTTTTAGTCTAAATCTAAACAAATTTAAAATTTCTTTTTGGCAATTATTTAGCTTTATGAATTTTTCTCTTTTACAATGTCTTGTTAGTAACACCAATCTAACAACGAACGTAACAAACTTATTAACAAAACCTGTATTAGGTTTTTCTTTAAGAATTTCAAATTTACGCACTATTTAGAACAGTAAAATAATATGGGTAATATTTTTTCAATAATATATGTTAAAATGATAGGGAGTATAAAAACAAACTTAAAAATGTTCATATTAGACTAAAAATCATCAACTAAATATCGTCAACTGAAAGAAATTTGAAATTAAAAACTGTATGAAAAAACATTTAAATGACATAAGATCTTAAAATAAAGTATCAAAAAAATTAAAAATATTTTTAATATCATTGAAAAACTTTTTTTCGTGTGAGTTAACAGTTTCCTCAATGCAAATAATCAAAAGTAATTTACAAACCAAGTTCCCAAACTTAAGCACGCAAATATTCACTCTTAAAGATTTAGAGTCACTTTTAGAATAAAAACTTATTTCTTTCCTTCTTCTCAAAACCACCTGAAGAATTACGGAAGTATAGTTTGGCAACTGTTCAAAAGAAGGGTGCTCTTTAACAAATTGTTTTTCTCTGAAACTAACGTACAATTCTTGGCACTATTATAGACTAGTAGGATGATAGCCAAGTGATAGTAAAGTGGACCTTGAATTTGGTTCATTCATATATTTAATATTTGTTTACATTCCCGAAATTAAAAGAATATAATTTAAAGCACATTTATAATAAAAAAAATTATATTAAAGCAATTAAAATATTCTGAAGTTACAAAATTACAATTAAAATATATATATTTTTAAAGGAAACATTAATTGCATTTTTATGTAAAAAGTGAAGCTTATGTATTCATAAAATTTAATATATTTAGATAGAAAAGGTGCATAAAATTAGCGCATGAAGTAAGAGGTACATAGCTTTTAACTTTGTAAGTAAAGGAAACACAAACAATATTTTTTCTGCCTATGACTGACTACATAACACTTTTATTTTCATTCCGGAATATAATGAATGATACGCTTAAAAATACGTAAAACAAAATTATATGTATTTAGTTAAATTATGTGTATGTACCGAGAAATTAAAAAATAAAATATTTTAAAATATTTCCTATTCATAAAATTTGTTATAAAAATATTGCAATATTTTATATAAACTCCTTCAAAATTAATTAGTACGTTAATGAAAATAAAAAGATTTGATTTATTGTTTTAACTTTGGAATTTTTTTTTAGATAAAGTGCAGCTGATCTTTACAAAGTAATGAAAATGTAAGCTTTTTATTGTTTTATAAAGGTTTGAGTTTCTGTAATAGCATTCATCATCAAACATAGAAATATTATGACGAAAAAGTGATATTAATAATTTCCGTGAAATTAAAGAATTTCGCAAAAGTTCTCTATGATATATTTCATTATTCTGACATAAAAACTTTCTATACATAACTCTGCTTTGAAACAAGATTTATAAGTAAAATGTTTGAATTTAAGTTTTTATAAATTTGTATTGTTTTAAACATAACAATTTTGATAAATTTCTTGATTTATTTACTTTTGAGACTAAGTAAGCAATGCTACTTTTCTATCAACATCCTTTTTAACTAATGATCTTGCACACATTTCAAAGTAAACGAACTTTTTTTTAAAAAAAAACATTGTCTCAATTAGAGGTTAATTTATGCCATAAACACGGGATAAGCTTTCGTAAAGTTTGCTTATATATGTTAAAAATGAAAAAAATTGTACAAATGGGATTAAAGTATTTATAGTCAAAAGGAATTGCATAAATACAAAGAAATGGAAATTTAGGCAATTTAAAAACATGTTAATGGGATTTTTTGTCCATTCACAAAACGGTAACAATAAATATTGTGTTGATTGAAGAATATACACCACAACAAAAAAAACTTTTTTTTTTCAATTTCAAACGTAATTCAAATGTAAAATAAAATAAATGAATATTCATGGAAAGTAAGATCGTGATGCATCATGAATTAAAGTTTTGTAATCTATCCCAAAATACTTTTCTATAAATTTATTACATATTTAAATAAGGAATATATCTTACCAGCTGTGACAGACTGTCAAATCTCAATCATGTTGATGTCTTCGAAGATTTGGAGATCTTATCTCCTTCGGAAAAGAGCAGTCACCATATCTGTACATTCCTTCTCGAATAGAAATACAAATAAATAAATTTTAAATTGGGGGCTGATATTTTTTTCGATTACACCAATTTATAACATGGATCGGATAGAAGAGGCAGGATGGAGAAACTTGTGGAAAAAGTGAGAAAACAAAAACAAAAATAAAACAAAACTAGTATTCCTACGATTTTATATACAAGTCAACGTTATCCATCTCATGATCGTTCTTTAGAATTGGTTGGATGAGAAACTACCCAACGGAGGTATATGGTGAATAAACTACACTTAGAAGAACTATATTTCTAAATCCAAAATAGGGAAAGGGGAACGTCAGAATTGGGCTGAAATTCCAAATTATGTCTTATTGCCTGGGGTCCGCCATCTTGTTTTAGCCAGACCAAAACATATCACAAATTGTTCTAAGACCGAGATTCGAATTCCTTGACGATCGTTTGGGGATTTTTCTCCGTTTTACATCCCTCCGAAAAAAAAGGGATTTTAATGAGGGTCCAAAGACCCTCACAGATTTGCGATAGTTGGAAAACTATTCGTTAGCATCAATAATTTTATGGCAATGGGGCGCTTGATTTTAATTTTTTCCGTACCACTTCCTACAATAACAACTTGACTGATCTACGTGCTGGTGCACCGACGGAGTCCCGAAGAATTTTCATCTCATCTCTGGTACTTTCTGGTAGTATCTGATTCGTCCTTGCATTGGCAGTATTCCCATGTCCATCCATGTACTAGTGATTGTCCGAAGAATCAAAGACATAATAGAGAGTTTTATTTATTTACTTATTTTAACCCTTGATAAAAGAAAAATATTCTTTAGGGTCCTGGTGACAGTCATCCAAAAGCTGCAGTTGAGGTTTGGGAAAAGCAGCAGCATCAGAGCAATGGGAAAGGTCGAATCGATCGACAAGGCGTCATCCGAACGTGCGCGGGTTTACCTGCGCAGATAAGATTTAGCTTTTGGGGATGGGTAAGCCTTTTTCTCTTCCGACACCCCCGCATCCCAAGTTACGTTCACCTCTTCATTCTCTGGAAGGTTGTGGTGTCTCCAAAGAATAGCGGGATAGGGGGCCGAATTGTGTGTATGTGAATTAAAGATCGAACGATCGGTAAAAACTTCTATTTCAAGTTGAACTTGACTGGGATGAAGACCACTTGTAGCACTTTAAATGGCTCGAGTAATCCCTCGTTCGTGTTTTTTTTTAATGGTTTTCTTCAATCTGCAAAAAAGTATGCTTGAAGATACTAAGGATTCTCAGAATAAAGATTTTACTTTAATTTGCATTTTTTTTGTTTCGTTTTGTTCTGGATATTTGAAACACGATGTTTGAGCCTAAAGAGATAAAAATCAGCCATATCTGCTCTAAATTAAGTTGTAAGAAATAAAATTATACGACGTTTTCTTAAGCTACATTAAAAAAAATATTAAGTGGTTCCATGTTGTTTTTTTTTAAATTTTTTTTAATTAGTTTAAATTCCTTATATTTTTAACACTTTGATGCTGAATTTTCCGCAAACACATTTTCCAAACTTTTTCATTATTTTGTATCAATTTAGATCAAAATAAGGGAAAAATATTTTTATTTCGAATTTTGAAAATTTATCGTTCGTTATGAAATAGGGATAGATAGAGAGACACATTTGTCCCTTAGTATGGACAGACGGCTAACTTCCATACAATAATTTTTTTCAAATTTGCACGGATTTACAGTTATTTAGATATAATAGAAACAGTAAATAAGAATTATGGAACTTCTTTAATTTACAAAATCAATAATTGACAATTTTTGAGCTTGACTTTGCGATAAAAAATACCAAAATATAGTTTTACTTGTAATTAAAACTTCGAAAAATATATTAATCAGAAACCGGCGTCTTATTTGAAACAAAGGGTTAAACAGTAAAGCAACTTGAAAATTAATCAAACAAAAAAAAAACAAATATAATGCTACACATATGTTTTATTATTAAATTGTTATCTAATGTTATTAGATAACAATTATTATCTAATCTTACAATTAGATAACAATGTTATCTAAAGTTTTATTATTGAAAATCTTAACTTAGGTCACACAGTGAGGAATACCAAAGGTGTGTTTCAGATTTCAAACACATTACGTTTAAAAACACATTGCATTTAAAAATTTAATTGAATTTATCTCAAAATGGAAATTGCTAAAAGATTACTGCCTTTTGAACCGGTTAGCACTACGCAAGAAATATGAATAAATTAAATGCCAGGCAAACAAGATCTAAGTTTTGATTAATAAAGTTTCAATGAAGTTAATAATATATCAAACTTTAAAGATTAAAATGATTAATTGTTTTTTCATTCTGATACATTTAATTTTAAGACACAGACTTTTTAGACTAAGACTATTTTTTCAATAAAATATGCTTATAATTTAAATTGAATATTAGTTTTCCTTCCACGAAGGAGAAATATTATGAGAAAGGGAAATTAATATTTGATATATTTAATTTGATATATATGTGATGTAATTAAAAAAAACCAGACTTTAGCAATTACCACCGTCATTTTTAAATGTGTCGAGGTAATTAGAAAGTCTTCAATATTTTTTTTAAAAATTTAAATGGTTTTTGTTTAGAATAATTAAAAGCCACTTACATACTTTTAAGACAATTAAAAAATATGGGAAGAATTATTCAATAAGAATGAATTTTCCAAAGCTCCCTGTAATAAACCTCTATAAAGCTCTATGAAGTAAATAAATAGCCTTCATGTAGCAATTACAACCTTTAATTTAATAGGAATAGGAACTTATTATAATGGACTTATTCCAAACTGTCTGAAATAAATCAGGTTAATTGAAAAAGGAATGCTATACTTTACAATCAGCCTAAAAAACTATTTTAATTCTTTTCGGATCTAGAATTTTTGGGTCAAGGAATGCTTTTTCCTGATTATTTTTTTTTATTTTTGCTTCAAGTATTAAAATACTAATAGGTTTGTTGACGGCAAGGTTTAAAATTCTCTGCGGTACTATACTCTGAGGTATTGAGGTATTTTTTTAAAAAAGTCCTTTTAATTTACTTAATGTCTTATTAAAAATAAATTTTACAAACTATTCACTGTAGCTAGAAATGTTAATTGTAACTAACTGTAGGAAAATAATAAGAATAAACTGGTTGAAAATTACTGATATTGGGTTCCACTGCAACTGGAGGCATTATGATAATTATTCGATCGATTTTCTTGCCCTTTTCAACATAAAATATTTAATAAAGTAATGGTTACAATTTAAAAAGTAGAATTTGAATGGATTTTCTATTAATTTTCATAACAGATAGACAGTGAACAGGAAAATAATGGAACATGCTGAATAACTTTTTGTCTATTGATCGAATTTTCACGAATCAATTTCATCTTAATGATTCCAGATCCTAAATTTGAAAGTACTAATTAATTAGTTCGGATGATATTTGAAGTTCCAAAATCACACACAAAAATGTACTTTCTCTTAAAATACGCATCTTTTACCCGAAAGTTTGGTTTCTTGACCTTAAATATGGGAGACAATTACAATCTGGATATTATGGTAATGTTATTGTACTTTAACTTTTCCGAACTTTTGACAGCTCTCATGATTTATTTAGACCATGTTTTTCTGATAGCTACTATCCTCTATATCTTGAGAGTTAGGAATTGAAATTATCTAAAAAAAGTATTGTTTACTCAGGAAAAATTTTTTGTGTCTGATTTAGTAACTTAAAATATCGTTTGCTCTAATTAATTGACATATTTAAATTTAGAATCTTTAACAATTAAGATTAAGTCTTACTTCATGGAAATCTGATTATTAGGTCAAAAGCTATTCACGATGTTCTATTTTTAATTTTAAGCATCGCGCATATTTATCTTTTAGTTTTAAAGACAATGAAGTTTTAGAAGCTTTTTATTTACCACAATTGTAATTATAAAAAAAAATTCCTGCTTTGTTTTTTATTTAAAAAAAAAAAGAAAACACGCTTATATTACGATAATATTAGATATATACTATTAATATACAGCTTGTAATGAAAGGACCACATTTAGTGTGTATTTTTATTATCCCTGTCAAAGCTACGATCAAAAAAGTCTAAATACATAAGAGGTTGAAAATAGCTGTTTAAGTTTTATAAATTCTATCTGAATTTGAAGAATCCTCGCTGACGAGGGCTTGGCGAAAAGCATTAAAACCTGTTCGATTGCAGGAGGAAACAGAGAGTAGCTAAAAAGTGTTGTTAGTGAAACCTACAAGCTTGATCGGTTGGTCTATCAAACAAGTTTTGATATTTTTGTTAATTGTCTCATTTCTTGTAATTCAAAAATAGCCTTTTCTTTTTTGCTTTTTCACATCTATCTATCTATCTATTATCTATCTATCTATCTATAATCTATCNTTTTCTTAAATAAATATTTATTTTCTAAAATTACTTATCGTCAACTTCTTTAAATTATCCAATATAATATTACCTTGTGCACATCCATTTCGGGCCCATCCTTGGTAACTAACAAATCAAACGCACTTCAGTAATGCAGTAAGAACGGCACGTTAAAGCAAAACTCCTCTAGTTACGCTCAATTTCCGCTTTTGTTTTCATATTATGCAATCTGGCAATCTTGTAACGAAAATATTTTTTAAGTCAAGTCATTCGTGAAAAATTTCCCGTTCATGTAAGTTCATTTGAATTCGCTACTCGCTTTATAGATTTCGTTTTATGTTTTGTTCTTTACATTTTATTTTCTGTTTTATACGTGATATTTAATACTTTATGTGTTCTATTCTATTTTGTTTCGAAAAATTCTTTTGAGTGCTCCTCATACTATTGTAATGGTATATATTGCTTCGTCTGTATTGATACAATATTAGAAACATTCCTTTTTGCGGATATAATCGTGTGAGCTGATGAAGGAATTATATCTTTTTCTCCCAATATATATATATATATATACATTAAAAGTGTATGCATTTCTAACTCCAAAATGTATATACTTCTTTTTGCTCCATTTTAACCAGAATTTTAGTAAACATAACTAGCCATATTAAAGGTTATCGTTATGGAACACCCTGCATAAACATTATTAGTACAACATCTACAGCACAAAAATATAACTCTTAATATGAAAAATACCACCTTGTAAACATCGGTAATGTTTTTTTTTAACCCTTACTGCATTTGATTTAGAAGAAAATGCTTCAGTGACTTTTAACTAAAACATGTATTTAATCAATTGATCTGACACCTGATGATAATGTTCAAATAAATGGAGAAGTGATTCAACGGAAAGGTTAAATTATCCGAAGCAGTGATAAAATGAATTCTAGCCTCACCGCCTGTTCTTGGCACTGTGCCTGAATAGAGAAAATGACTCCACAATATATTATCATTTCAGACGTGGACATTTTTTAAAAGCCAACCTGTTGGATACAATCTTTTTAAGCTGTTTGGATACATTTCTTTATCTAAATTACAAGATTTGAATGAACTTTAGTAATAACTAAATTGTTAGACATCAGAGTTGAAATACAGAACACTATTATTAACTGTAAGAAGTAAACTCTTATTTTTGGTGATTCAGAAATCCTTGAGTTTGATTTCGTTTAATTTAATAATTCTCGCTGAATCATACGATCTTTGACGAAATCTCAAACACTTAAATGTTTTACGAAACTGTTCTCTCCCGAGTTTGTTATCTTAGTATATTCTGGTAATTCACCAATAATTTAATTGCACTGTTAAACGGAGCGGGACCATTGTAAGTGCAATGAATCAATTTATTCTATTTATTAGGCTGGCTATACAACACAAAATGGAAGGAGAATGAGTCCACAGACATCATTAGGA